CTTTCGTGATTCGCATCATAACAAAAAGGAACAGAAATTGATATGTAATTTGGAATTAATTGTCCGTTGAAAAGCGACGTGCGTTGCACGGGCATGTGTTTTGTTGTGAATCAAGCGGACACCTTGCCACCCCGTAATGGCTTGGATGGTAAATTAAGTGAATTAAGTAAAAGTCCTTCGATTCAATTGCGCGCTCTAGAAAATGATAATTGAACAATCAGTCGCCATATAAAGGCATCATTGTGGATAATTGTTTTGATTAGGAGGACGTTGCGAAAGATATATTGCTTTAGATACCTACCAATGGCATGCACAAAAGTACATATATGGTAGATTGTACCGATATTGACTTCCCCATTTACGTATTTTATGATGAGAAAGTGTTCAGCGAAGGGGATTGACAACCAACTAAAGCATGCTAGAAAAGGTGCTAACATGTCAGCAAACTTCTTATTTACTTGGCCTTAAATATTTTACTGGATTGGACACAATTCCTTATAGAGACTGAAGCAGATGAAGAAAGAGAAATGTTGGGAAAAGCCAAAAATCAAACATCTTGTGGGTGCTCAGCCTCCTCGTCCCAGAAACACTATTGTGTATTTCATCAGATATCATATCTACTGTTAACTGTTAGGCGGGCAGTTTCTACAAAACCAGAGATAAGAGAAGGAAGCCCTCTTTAACCTCCGTTTAGGAATTGTACTAAAATTAATAGATACATCAGAAAAGAAGTGAAACATTATCCGAAAATTATTGCCACTCCATATACTATGAAAATATATCCACCTGCACCATGAGATGAAGTCATTAGCTTTTGGTATATTGGCAAACATAGAGAGGAGATACATTCCAACTCTCTTTCGTAACGTCTAACAATTTCCAGCGTTTTATTCCTTAAATGGTCGAGGCTCAGCGGCAAGGCATAAGAAACCTTTATTACAGCAACGGTGTAGTTTCATTGACTTCCATGCAATTACAATTATTACAATTTTCATTAATTTACCGTTCTCATTATTTATTTTATCTTCAACCGTTTCTGTGTTTGTGAGTTTCGAAAGTGAAACAACTACCTACACCGCTTCGCTGCATCAAATATTTAATAATTGTTATTTTATCTATTATTATTATTATTATTATGATCGTTATCGTAAATATATAACCATAGTTAACGAACGAACGAACGGTACGCGCTTTGGTGCTCCTCCAAAAGAATTAAAAGGCATTTGATGTTATTGCTCATTTCCGCTCTTTTGTTTGCACACGCAAACGTTATATAAAACGATTATGCGGAAACATACCGACCCGTAATATACGCCGCTTACTGCAATTTCATAAATTAATTCTCTCGTAAATGAAAGTTTACCTTTGTAACGATAATTACTAATAAACTCGTCGAACAGTGAATTCAACACTGACTCTCTCTTACGACACAAAAGTAGGTACATTTAATGCTTCCACACAAATATGCATGGAATACCTATATACTCGCGGCTTGTAGGTGCATGTACGAATACCTATGTTCTTTTCTCCTCGGTTAATAGGTAGCAATATCTACATCTACTTCACAAGCTTCTCATAACTTAACTAATCTTGCCTGAATGAATGGAACTTGGAAGGATAATTTTATATATGTTCGAATTATAGAACTCTGAAGAAATGCCTGAATGCTGATTCATTAGAATGTGGAAAAATAATTCGAAAAGAGACGAGCGACTAAAACTGTTTACTTTTGCCAAAGTAGCCCCTCGATTAGAAATGAAATAGAGGTAACCCCAGCGGACATATGTATACCGGATCAGGCTTTAGTGTAGAAGTCGTCCTACGAACTCCATACTCGGACGCTATGAGCTAGAGAAAGGGATTCCCTAATTATAAAAATCCTTGCTTATTTGTGTAGGGTCCTGGCATCTCATTGTAGCCCTACTGGGAGATTCGTTACTTATCCCGATCACCCAGCGGCATGGCCTAGAGGTTTAAAGCATTAAACCATTGCTTAGCATTCGAGAGGACGCCAGTTCGATTCTGGGTCCGTTTGCCTTGGTCCAAGATTTTCTTTGGTTTAAGATAATCTTTCATTCTCTTCTGTCTACATTTCATCCGTCTGATCTTTCTCACCCGAACCACCATTCCCACGATTCCTGAAAGGAGGCTGAAGAGGGTCTTCTGCCTTACCTTCCGGAGTAGTCCAGAGGGACGGCCCGCCCACCAGCAATACTGGCTGTTGGAAATTGAACACACAAGTTTTTTTTTATCCCGATCGGCCCTGACTTGACAGACCTATTGAAAACTTCAGCGGATCCTGGAAGATATCCTGATTTGTACGTAGCACCATATATTAGATCAATCTGATTAGCACCCTACAGTTCGGTCCATGTAGGATATCTTAGTCAGAATCATATAAGACACCCCATCTGTCTCTTATAGGGTTTCTCATGTCAGGAATCTACAAAGCTCCCTAGCTTATATGAGACACATAAGTCAATCTATTCAGAATCATATAGAATATTCCTATCAGGGCTTTACAAGGTGGCTCAATCCGAATTGGAGTATTCGGAGTATTTGAGGCGTTACATCTGGTCCTGATCAAATTTTCCATTTTGGACCCTAGGCTCGATTCGATTCGGATCCCAGAACTACCTATTTTCTACATTATATAGATAAATCTATAGGTAATATTCTAATAAAAGTTAAAACTAGTCGGAAGGCATCTATTAAGCAGTCATTAAGTTGTTGTGAAATGAAGAAGTTGGTCTGCATCAGAAGGAGGTGATGAAATGTGTAAAAGGTATGCTTCAAAGTTTCAGGATATCCTGATCCACTATATTAAATGCTGGTGGATGCGTTATACTTTGTACATAAAATACACTCTGTTTCTTTTAATAAAAAATAATTGACCTGACTGTAGAGTAAAAGTCAGTTTGATACCTATACGGGCATTGGCCAACAAACACAATCACAAGAGGTAACTCAGCAAATGATTTCCGTTATTCCTCCATTTGTGATGCGAACATTGAATCCCAGAACGAAAGCGTACCCGTCACACCGTGGCTAATTGGCGATAGGCACAATAGAATTTTGTAACAAAAAAGCGCCAACACCAAACCACACTTTCACGGCAAAAATTAATGTACAATCGTAATATGTACACTTAAAACGAATGTCCATGCTTTTTTTTACAGTCGAGCCGGTGTGATCCATTGAAATTTTAATTACCTACTGCTAATTAGGAGGATTCATTATACCATAGTGATGTTTTAAATGAACACAATGGTCTTAGGATCTCTTTAAAATCATCGAATACAGAGACGGAAATGTGATCCACTCCCGCAATTTGCTCAAGAATATACCTGATGAGTATATACAACATCAGTAGGTACTATAGAAGGGATTACCATACACATTATGTAGGTACTGGGAAACAGAATCATCAAGCACTAGTCACGGCACGATTAAACTCCATTGATCGAGAACCTAAGAAGGTAGGAAACAAGGTCGTCGAGCTACAGGAAAACTCTAGGGAGGTAATACAGAACTTAATAAAAACTCATTTTACTTCGTTCCCGTCAGCTGTTTCCTCGATCGATACTAAGTCGTGGCTAATTTAGCACAGAAGGTACTCTTCAGCTTCCTTTAGGAATATTGGAAATCAATGGTTGATGGTGGTCATTAGGCAGAGATGTATGAGGTGGACGAAATAAAAACATTTGCCGATATCCTACTAAACGTCACCCAAAGCAAGGGGACCAGTGTTCCGAAATACTATAAAACAATACCCATACATGATTATCACGAATTTTGTCGGGGCCATTTGGGACATTTTTCCTCAAAGCCATTACATTCTTAACAGTGAATGGGTGAGACGTTTCAGGAGTCGACTTCCGACGATGCAAATTGCCTCATCTATGGAGAACACGATCGGTTGTTGACCATGTGTATTAGCGTAATGGTAACACAGCGACGTCAATTTAGAAGGAAAACAAGTACATCGGACGCCGTTTCATCGACCAACCGACGTCGTTCTACGTCCATAAAAGTTCACGAGGCATTATTATCATTCCACGATGAAGATCTGATGGCTGCCTTTTTACGATCGCGCGTTTGAGTTCATTAAGCGGAACTGTTATTTTATAGGAGGATCTCTTTTAAAAGACGCATTGTGAATAATTAACAACAATTAATTGCTACCAGATGCAAATGGCGGAAAATTTTGAATGTAATCTATATCTATTACATACTACTCACGAGTGAACCATTGAATTTTGTCTGTTAAGAACACATAATAATTGTTGTGTTAAATAAAATGCGTACTTTTAAAAAGGATAATAAAGTGCGAACGACAGTTTGATATACACATTGCATATAATGGGAGATCAAGACATAGTAAATAGTTAAAGTGACTCCCATCAAACATGAATAAGGAGGTACTATGTGACAGACAATCAAAGAGTGTACAGCTTCAACTTATAGAGCTTCTCATTTTGCGACGGTAGTTACAAAAAAGCTGACGACACTGAAAAACCAAGGGTCAGTTTTTCAAAAGAGAATATTAGGATTAGTGTAATTTCTTGAGTTCCCACAATTCATTTAAAATCTAACAAAAGAGCATTTACGAAAGGCTAATCAGCTATCATAGGAGATGATATTGTGAAAAGACTACATCAACATCACTTCCATTTCTGAAGTTCTTATATAAAATGCTTATTGCATACCACATTCAGTTCCATCATGTCTTATTGGGTTTCATCAAGTTTTAGTACCAGTGGAGATTGACTAATTCATTTTGGATATTCTCAGTGACGTTTTGATCCAAAAGTTGTACTTTAATTCTTTCTAAGGGTGTTGAGTTTTAAGTTTCAATATTCCATGTAAGAGCCGGTCGAATAAAATTTAAACAACCATGAAATATATCATACCATTGGAAATGTCATTTAAGTTAATCAGATATTTCAAACTGTATTAATCTCCACTGGATTTTGCAATTTTTTGAAGCGTGAACTTACCGTTTGAACAGACGCTGGATGTATCTGGATGCCCGGAACTGTCGGTGTCACTATCACCGTGTAATGGTCCTGAGTGTAGAGATAGATCTCGTGGTCCGGGACTTGGAGAACGTCCTCGTAGGACCGAGCCTCCGTCAACCGCCGTCGGTGGTCCTCCGCCCCCGTTCAAAATGTCCGTAATCATGAAGCGGGATCGCGTGGCGGCGGTCTGCGGCATGCTGGCCCGGGATGATGATGTCTCGTCTTGGACGGTCATACCAGTCACTACCGCAGCACTGCACGGCGTCCTGACCCTGATCTCACCCTTTTGCCACACTTTGGACAACGTCCCAAATCAAAATATAACAACACCCGTGTAAAATAGTTGGATACAATTTCAACGTACCACAGCCGAAAGCGTTCTTAACACTTGGGGTCCACGTTCACACAATCTATGGATTATGTGAGGTACTTTCTTAACACTTCGGTAGGGTCTTTGAGCGATCGCACCTAATTCACCTACATGCCAATGGTCACCGCATATTGGATTGGTGATCACTAATAACTGTAAACTCAAGGCGATCTTAGGATGTTTACCCGATGAGTAGATTCAGATAAAGATTACTGAAACCAACAGTAAATGCCACTTTCTCTGCTGATGAGTTCGGTTTCCAATGACTTAAACCGATCGGATGGGTGAGCAGTGAAATAAGTTGGAACAGGTGTGTATGTATACAAATGTGAGTATGTTTATACTCACAATTCACACTGACGACGTGTTAGGTGAAACTAAATTGTCGACAAACCGGCCGCAGGATCGGGCAGTAAATCAGCCATGTTGACAGTCCCCACCACGTAGTGGCTCCGCTCGCAGGAAGTCGGCCAATAAGGTGTTGCCCGTAATTCGTTGGCGGCCAATTGAAAAGTGGCGCCGCAAAGGATAGGCGTTGAGTTTCGTCTGTTCGGCAAGCGTCGCGATGGGCTGGTCCTTGGACGCTCGCTCCGCTGTGCTGAGATTTCCCTAGATTGACTGTTTAGAAAACAGTTTTAGATGTTTGCGTTGCCGCTGCGGCTTCTATTCAGGGCCAACTACGTGTGGAGCGGCAAATGACAGGGCGATGACGGTATTATCGCTCCTCTGTCCTCCGCTCGGTTACTCTTTTCCTCGGCGGCAATCTGAACGCAATCGATGAGCCAAATTAGTCGAGTGGTGGGGTTTAAGGATTCATAGAGATCCTCCATCTATCGATAGAGCTTGAGTAAATGCCGCTTGAAAGTCGTTCTTTAGAATGGAAGAAATAAGTGTCATCCTTATTGAACGAAATACGCATATGGTTGGAGGATTGATAAAATAATGATACCCACATAAAAATAGAAACTCTTCGTATGTTATTGAGCCGAATCACACCAAGGAGTCCATCCTCGGATGATCACACTCGGAGTACCCTTAGCCGCATTACGTTTCTTGTACGGAGCCCCGGATATCCATATAATATACAATCTCACGACTTGTTGGGTTCCACAAATCCATTTACCAAAATTTCCTAACATATTCTTCCAGACTATTGGGAGATTCCAATAAAATTGCTGATACAATTAAAGCTCCTTCTGGAAGACTACTACTTAAATATTATCTATTTAACGAGTAGCCACTTATCCTTAAAAGATCCAATATCCCTACAATGGGGATTTAAAATGCACTATATGGCGCTTGAAGATCCACGGGAAACCAGAAATATCTAACGTAAAAAGTGTCAAAATACGAGGAAGAGGTCCTAATGGAATACTTCCCCCTGGAGCAAACATTACTTTGACATTTTAAGTATTATGAAACAGTAAACGAAGCAAAACTTATAAGGCAAATACTGATGGCAGTGACCTTTATGCGACCATGTTATTCGATCTTATTGAATCGGTTTTTAAAATAGTGATAGGTACCATCGGCGTTCCAGGAGGTTTTTCGTTCTAAATCTACAGTAATTAACAGATATTATTGCTGTTGATTAAGTGCTTTTTTTATTAAGGTTTTGAGTTAAACGAATTGGCAGGTGTGCTCCTGGTAGGTAAACGGCTCTGTTTTGGCCAGTAATTTACAGAAAATGAGCAAGTAGTTACGGGGATTGACGGTCTTACTATTGTATCGCAGTAAACCGGCAACATTTACGATCTGATTACGAGAACATACATACAATCATATATGTATATCTAAATTGGTGCACGTATATTTGTATGTGTTTGTAAAGTTCTATGTTCTACTACTGCAGCGGTTCGAAAGGAAACAGATGGTGTTACAGTAACAATTAGGTCGAAATTAAGCTCCCTTTTATGCGAGTCAGGCATGAGTGCGTTCAGTCGCTCAAGTGTTGCCCCAATTCACCCTTTTGCCCTGTCGCTTTAAGGATGAAAATTTCCCTTTCGATGCCGCCCTTTTGTTCGCCCACAATAAATTACCGGGTAGATGATTATTTATTTAGTAATACGTATACCGAATTTAGATAAAACTCAGATTATGCGATTAGGTGCTTTAAAATGTACAGCACCGCGTTTACATTTAGACAACGGAGACGTAATGGGGTGTACTCAGTGAACCCGATGGGGAAATAAAAATGCCATTATTATGTATCTACCCACTTATCAAATTTTAGTCAGGTTTTGAAGTGTTAGTTTCAGATTAATTTTTGACATACAAGTGTAAGTATATAGACATATCAATATATATGCTTCTTATTGTTGTATCCATCTTTATTATTTCTAAAAAGTTACCCTACTATAGGTACATACAGTATGTGTTCAACAATAGACTCACTTGCTTTTGAAATAGTAGGTTTATGACATGTCCATTTTGCGAAAGTTATTTTCCGGCTTGGTGAGGTCGTGGCTTTGGAATGTTTCTCTAAAGGTGGTTCTCTTTCGTTGGGGTTTTCTACTTTTTAGACTTAATATGATTGCCATGAGAAAAACTACTACAATTACATGTTCATTCCAACTGCAACACAAGGACCATCTATGAAGAAGGATTCCAAGACAATGTTCATTTAGCCAAAAAATAATAGCTGTTTCCGTTCCATTGCCATTATATAGGTACTTATAGCTATTATCATCATAAAGTCCTAAGACTGGTTGGACACGCCTTTCTACTCTTTCATATCCTGAGCTAATTTTCGCATTTCCACAAAACTAGAACAACCCACATCCTTAACTACAGGTGTATAAACCTTTAAAAAAATTTCATATAGCAGTAACTGAAATGAGGCGAATGATAAGGATACCGTGGATAGAGAAGGTTAGAAATGAAGAGGTATTAGAAAGAGTAAGAAAATAGAGGACTCTATGGAAGTCAATAAGAAATAGGCGAGATAGGTTGGTAGGACACACTTTGTCAGACATGAAGGTCTAGTCAGAGTCATATTAGACCTAGAAACGGAAGTTAGAAGGAGTGGAGGTAGACTTAGAATAGATTACTGTTCGCAAATAGTTAAGGATGTGGGTTGTTCTAGTTTTAGGGAAATGCGAAGATTATCTCAGGATAGGAAGGAGTGGAGGTGTGTGTCCAACCAGTCTTAGGACTGACGATATTATGATGATGATGAGCAGTAACTGCTTTATTGACAAACTGCTATTGGAGTGTGGTTTTTGGTTCCCGTTTTTGCATTTATTCTTTAAAAAATTACTTCAGTATTATAGCTTGTTGACGTCGACGATACAGGTGTATTTAATTGCCGACTCAGGTATCGTGTTTTAAAATGACCAGTTATGTAGTTATTTAAAAAGTTCCCTTCGTTTAGCCGGCATAATTCCACAGCAACAACAACAACAGCAACTGAGCATGTGTAATAAATAAAATTTTATGCCGACATAAAACGTGCAGTGTGGTAGTGGAAGCCACACAGGTACATGCAGACATGTACCTATTTAATAACAAGAATCAAAAGAGCGTGGCGCGGAATGGTTATGATTTATCACAGGAAATTGCCCGAAATGCAAACAGCTAACACTAGTTATAAATAAAAGTCGTTATAATTAAGAGAAACAATTAAAAACGTAACCTGTTCAAAACAAAAAAGCACAGGTGGATGGGCGATATAGCGGCGCGATGGAATGTATTGTTCGGGCGTGAAGGCTGGAACGCTTAATTGCGTTGTTAGTTTTGAGAGAAAGTAAACCGTTAAGTAACTTCAACTGTTCTGCGCAAACAAATTAATATAGAAATAGGAGCTTCAATAACGATAAGGAGTTCTAAGTAGATTTTGGGATATCATCTCAGTTAAAACACTTAATTCAAAAGCTGCCTTACTAATAACGACAATAGCAGCATCAGTGAATATTGAAACTGAGTTATGCATAATAACCATCGACCAAAATGGTTAATAGTCAATTAAGTTTAAGATTCGTATTCGTTAACCAGTTAGAACTGAATGCAAGATATGCAAAAGAGGCTATAGGTAATAAAGCTATTATCTGTCTATTACAAAACGTATATGGATTTTCTTATTTCAGAAAGGATGAGTTAGATACACTTGTTAATGTTTTTTTCCTCTTGCGTCTAATAAATGTAAGTTGTAATTGTAACAGTGCTTAGTCTCTTTGTTTTAATAATCATCAAAAGTGAAATTCTTCGTTATGGTCCGGTATGTTGAATATAATTGAATCGTTTGGTTAATTCATTACGACATATATAACGCAATTAAAAACAGCGACAGGGTACATTTCCGGGAATACATTTCCTTATCGCTTTGAGAACATTACAACCTTAATTACAATTATTTAAACAATTTTGGGAATTTGTTACTCATTGTTAGACGCATTACTGCCCTTTGGAGTTTGTTATTTTACAACCATTGAACTTGAGGCAAAGACATTAAAAGGAGAAAGGACCCTGCTAGATCTTTGCGGAAAATGGTCCTCTGTCAGACTTTTGGATTCTGGTAGTTTACGACATGTAGGGGTCAGAGGGTCATTTTCCGTATGGATTAAGCGGGGTCCTTTAGACACGGAGCTGCTTGACCTAGAGGTTTAGACCATTGCTTAGCATTTGGGAGGAAGCTGATTCGATTCGAGGACCGTCTGCCTTGGTCGAAGTTTTTCCATGGTTTGCTTGGATCATTTAGGCAATTGTTGGGGCAGTAATATTCCACAGATAATCTTTCATTCTCTTCTGTCTTCATTTCGTCCGTCTCAACATTCTCACCCGAAACACCACCCACCCATTCACACAATTCCTGAAAGGAGGCCTTCCTCCCTACCTTCCGGCGTAGTCCAGAGGGACAGCCCGCCCACCAACATTAGTGACTGGTGGGAATGAAACATCCAAAAGTGTTTTTTTACCTTTAGGCGTGTGTCACCTTTTGGTTTTCTGATAACTAAACCTTGTAGTTGTAGATTTTGTTAACTTTCTTATTTTATGTGCCCACGGCAGTAAAATACACTAGCCGCCACTGCTTTTAAATATTCCAAATGGGGTGAGCAATTAGTTTAATAAATTAGAAAGGAAAGCTAATATAACAGCATATAAAATAATGATGTTTTGTACACCTACTTATGTTATTGTATTTATGAAATTAGGTGGCATGTTAATACGAAGTTAAAGAAGAAACTGGAATTCTCCCTAACAATGAAATTTCCCCGTCTTGTGAGACATTTAGAGGAATACATTGTCATCTTCATTGTCGCCTTGTTTCCTGTTAAGACTCGAGCATATAAACAATTTAAGTTAGTAGAATGGTTCGTTGTATCGTCGGGGACATGAATATGAATGAGGGCCCATCGGAGTGTAAAATGTCTGCATTTAA